TGACTGGGATGTCTTACTCCCTCCACTGATGGCCTATAGGACAGCAGAGCATGAAGCCACTGGATAGACTCCAGCAAAGTTAATGTTTGGTTGCCAGTGGATCTGTTAACAGGACGAGTTGCTTGAAAATGTGTCAGAGTTTGTGAAAGTGTTATCAGAAAGAATGGATGATATTCACCATCAAATGCGTTCAAACTTGAAAACGTCTGCTGATTCCATGAAGCTATGTTATGATAGGAGATCTACTGAAGTCAGCTTTGTACCAGGAGACAAGGTGTGGTTGTATAATCCCAGGAAGACCAAAGGGAAGTCTCCTAAGTTGTCATCTCCATGGGAAGGCCCATGTGACATAGTGGATCGTCTCTCAGACGTGACTTTCCGGATAAAATGTGGGCGGCGAGGTAAGCCAAAGGTGGTGCATGCCAAAAGGCTTTGGCGTTATCACGGTCCAGGGCATTTCAGTTGGAATGAAGTGAACAATGGAACAAAAGACGCCGCTGCAGATGTGTCACCTAGAAAGGCCACTGTCGAAGAAGAAACTCTACTCGGTTTTGAGAAGGGAAACAGTGAAGCCCTTTATGAAGTTACTATCACTGAAGTGATGAACCTAACGTGAAGCAGAAGCCAGAACGGAAGATACGTCCCGTAAAATTAAAATACTTTGTTGAATTTTAATTTTTGTCTTTTAGTGTTTGTAAATTCTGTACGTCTAATTAAGTTATTGTCAATCATCTATTGGTTTAATTTGAGTGGCTATTGTTCGGGACAAACAATACTAATGAAGGGACAGTGTTACGACAACGGAAGTCACGTGACGCTGGTAACACGTGATGAGTTTCTAGAAGATTCATGAAGAGACGAGATGTACGCTTTTATAATATATAAGACCACCAAGAAGTGACGGCAACAATGGAGTTGAATTGGAGACAGAGATAGAAACGGACAATTGAGTCAAGCGCGGTAGTGCGTGAATCGTTCGTTGTGAATTATAGCGTTTGTTTAAGTTAAACTGACTGTAGAAATTAAGTGTATTGCAAAGTTGTATTGAGAAATAATAGACTAGTTTTATTTAAGAAAGGACTTGTATCGCTAAATTTTTACGGAAAATTAACAAACGAACAGAGACGTAACAATATGTATGCATAAAGTTCTAATGATTTCTACATGTTCTTTGTGTTCTCATATTTCTACTTTTACATAAAAATTAGTCCCCTCCCCTCTTAAATGAATCAGTGGTAAGTCTACAGGCTTACGACGCTAAAGATCAGAGCAGAGTACAGATATCCCACTCTGCAGCTTTGTGCTTAACAATAAACAACCATACAAATTAAAATAAGATTATTCCTTGATATAATCTGAAAAGTGAAATAATTAGATTAATTTAATAATTAAGGTGAAATAACTTATTACGTTGCATTGACTATGGTTTTGATGCTGTTTCACTCATTGTTAAACATATTTGTAATGTAATATTAACAACGAATCTCTGAGTCAACGAGATCACATATGGCATTTCATCTCGGGGTACCATACATCTCACATTTCTTCATCTCTTGGAAATTTTACGGAATTTTCATTGTCGTATGAGGATTCCAACGGTGTCCCCCCCCCCCAAAAAAAAGAAAGAAAATAATTGGAGGAGATGCAATGTTTTTTTTTTTTGGTAGATGTAGAAATAATGTTCATTAAAGTTTGCTTGTTTTTTCTTATACGAGACTTTGCTTTTAATGAATTCCCTCAGTTGCTTCTCCTTCAAGATTTCCCTCTAGACCATTGAAATCCAACATTTCTTAGTTTGCAAGAAACGTCGCTTTTTCCCAAAACGACAAATGTTAGCAGTGACTAATAATTGTAATTCCAACTTAGGTGAGGCTATAACTATGGGCGTCCGCAGAAATTTTTCCAGGGAGGGGCAAAGTAGTGTCAAATTGTGAATTGGATAAACAATTCATATACAAATGCTGGATGAATAAAGAAATAATTATGTTTCTTATTTTCCAGGGGCAAGCGCTCCCCTCTTGCCCCCCTCCCCCAAATGCGAACGCACATAGCCATAACATCTAGATATCACATGAATTACCATTGAAGGACACTGCTGTTGGCATCCTTGCAAAACGTGCAGTATTGCAGCAATGCTCCGACGGGGACATAATCAGAATGAACGATAAATTAAAAATAAATATTACAATATTACAAAAAAAGATAGAAATTCATATACCATACCAATGATCATTGTGTACTCTAGGGATAATCTGTAGATTTTCTGTCAAGATTGTACGTATCTCGGAGGACATAATTCTGAAGCATCAGATTCAAAACTTAATTGCCCCCAGTGGCACAACGGTATATCTTCAGACTTACAATGCTAGAGACTGGATTTCGATACCCGTGGTGGGCAGAGCACAGGTAACCCATTGTGTAGCTTTGTGCTTAACTTCAGACAAACAAAGTTTAATTATTTGCAACTGTAAGAGGTAGCAAGATGCTGGACGTGCTACCAGTGTTTCAGGTGTGGATGCGATAACGCGAGATACAAGTTGCAGAGAAAGGGAACTGTAAAAGAGGCCAGAGAAAATTTTCCGATGGTGCTAATAAAAATGACAAACGACCGAAGAGAAACATATACCTACAGACTGGGTATGCTCATTGAATCGTCGGGAGATGTGGACAACCGTGACCAGAGCAGCGAGTGTGATTAACTTTGGGAAGAGAGAAAGTCACTACGACCACTGTCAAAGACTCCTAACATAAAGCCCAATAGATCCTATATTTTATTCCAATTGTTTTCGGGTCTTCTATGGACACTAATTTGTTACGAAAAATTACACAATAATTATGGTTGATTCAGAGATTCGTTGTTAAAACGATTCGAGTTGTGACTTGTTCTGTCTTTGACTAACAAATCCTGGTTATATTACACTCAATCTAAAACCAAATTATAAATATAAGAGAGAATAATAATAATAACGAAGAAATTGTAATTTGAATATAGAAGTGTTCTAGAAACAACACGACCATCTGTAACAAACTTGATACACTATCTTAAAACTTATAGAATTGCGGGAGGTTACTCATAAATTTTCTTATACGTTAAGTCCTGACTTATTAAAGAAAAAACAATTATCTTGTTTGTCACCACCAGAGGGCTTGTAGATTGGAATCCATTTTGAGCTGGTAAGGTTTATTTGTGTAAGTCAAATAATAAGAGTATCGTTAGAAAATTTTTTGGGGTGTGTTTGGAGAAGTAGGCCTAACAATAAGAGACTTGACCGAGTGAGAAGGGTATATTAAACATCAGTTGTTTCTTATTTATATTCTTACAATTTCTTAGTGATATTTATTGTGTTCGTTATTTTTTATTTTGTAATTTTTACAAATTTGTTGTTACCATTAGACTGTTACTGTTAGAAGTTAGTTAAACTCAGGCAAAGTCCAAGTTAGAGACTAGGGTTACTGTAACATGTTAGTGTTAATTTAAGTGAAAGTTTAATCTAATAGTAATAAGCTAATTCGGAAGTAATTGGGCACCTGATTCATTCGGAATAAGCTTCAGAATTGGAAGATAAACCCTGTGTGTTATTAATTAATACCTTTTTGAAGTTTGAACCTTTGTCAGTGATCAGTTTTGACCACATAATGCTTTTCTATTGCCGGTTCAGTTTGAAAGTCAAATGTGATAGCTGTCCTGAACGTGTGCTACTTTTTTAGTACTGAAAAGTTATCCTTGGAATCATCTCCACTTCTTCATAGTATATAGCAGTAATAATAATCAACCTGTTATATTTATAATGCTTCGTTCTACTCAACTTAAACCTGATTAAATGCAATCAATTGATCTTGGCTCGAGTATTGAAGTAAGTAATATTATTCTTGTCACTGAAATTCATGAAGTGCTAGAACTAGCTATGGAAGGTATTAGTGGTGGAAGTGAAGTCCCTTTCTGCACAGATATTGTCTCAAGGGCATCAACTAGGTGAATGATCTGTGAATGCCCAGTTGCCAAGAGCCAGTAGAGATACTGAGGAGTTGTTTGTGGAATGTCACTAGAGATAGGTGCAGGAGAGTTGCATGAGGAGCTTTGCAATTCTGGTTACAAGATTCTAGGTTGTCTGAAGAATAACTACGAGAGAAAAAGAAGGTCCAGTAGGTACTTGGATATTTTGTAACTTTTGAGGGAGCAATTCTGTCCCTTTATATTAACTTTGGTTTTGAATGCTTCTGCGGAAAAGTGTTTTTACTGTTGTCTCTTTGGATATGGTACTCACTGTCAATATCAGACTCTGTGTCTAAATGTGGTACTTCATGAGGCATCAGATTGTGACAAAGAGCCCCTTGGGCTTGATTATGTTAATTGTGCAGTATATTCTGCGTGATTCTTACAGTGTCTAGTTCATTTACAAGTTAAGGAACTTGAATGCTGAAGGAAAGAACAGAATTTGATTTCTAAAGGTGCTTGTTTGCTTTTTATATGGAGATTTAATGAAACATCCTTCTTTCAACATTTATTAGTCTTGTTAGAACTGTCTGTGATATGTCATGGGGAGGTGATTGTCAGACTATTTAGTTGTTATCATGTGCTTGAATTCATTCAAAATTGGATTTTATCACCATTTTTTATGATTCAGTCCCTTTATATGTGCCTCAAAAACTTGATGTATTTCAAAATTAAGGCTGGGTGCCATGACATGGACTCTTTTCTTGCTTTACAAATTTTTTCATTTGTTAATAACCTAGAGTATTTTTGTCACTGTAGGTGGGATTCTACTCCATATCCTATTACTGTAGTGTGTGCTGACATTTTTCCTTTTTTTTTTTTTTGAAGTCTTTTCTACTCTCACTTGCCACCCCTTAAAGTCCAGGTTTGGTTTTGAAGTCAAATGTAATAGTTACCCTTAACTTGTGCTACATTTTAAATACTGAAAAGCTATCTGGAATCATCTCCACTTCTTCATAGTACATAGCAGTATTAATAATGAACCTGTACTAGGAAACCCAGTAGAAGAATTGCTTTTGTATGGATATCTGGAAATTAATGGAATGACAAGGCTGCAAAACAGCACTGTTTTTTGATTGTCCCTTGAGTGTTGTTCCATTGAATAATTAATATTGTTCAAATCTACTGTACAAAAAACTCGTGCCCTCTTGGTCAGAGAATTGATCATATTTACAGGTGAATGATGATTTTTTCCTTCCACATTACTTAAAACTTTTACTGTTCTAAAGAATAAACATGAAGATGGGTTTATGTCATGTTAACAACTTGATACTTGCTGCTTGCATTATACTGTATTTAAAATTGTTTAGGTAGCTTCACCATATTGTATTTATGAAGTGTTGTTCTTTAGTTTCTTAAATCTATATATCTATTTAGTTGCATTTAGTCTTTAATATAGGTCCCTTCTATAAATTAGTTACTCAGTTGGTAATATATGTCTCATAGTGTACTTAAGTCTGCTAAGACAGTGTTTCCAATTTGGTATGCCATGTAATTTTTCAAAAGGCACATAAGAAAAACAAATGAAATGTATTACATGTATAAGATAGTTTTGTGGATGGAACCAAAATGTATTCTGTCTTGTTGCTCTTTTGGTGTTCAGGACTGAGCTTGTACTTCATGTTACATTTTAATGGATTTCGTGTGGTAATAAAAGTTGTGTTATTGGGCTGAGTTTTCATAAGGTGGTAGGTAATGGGATGGCAGTTGACACACAGTATTCTTATGAAAGAAGTGTGCTTTAGGCTGGATAATGTTGTGAAACACTGTGCTAGGATATGAAAACACCAAATAGAGAAAGAATGTGATGTAACACTAGATATATTATTTAACAGCCTTTCTGGGGATTCATTATAATCTTTTATCATTAACAGTTATTTTTATTTTGCATAACATGAATCAATTGCTAGGTAAATAGGTCACAAACATATATATATATATATATATATATATATAGTAGTTATTTTTATTTTAAGTTAGTTA